GTTTCATTCCAGACATACTGGCACAAATCTGTAATCTTGGCATTCTGCAACAATGAGGCAGGAGGATCACAGTTTCAAGCCCAGCGTGGACAACGTAATGGCTTATTTTAGTTGTTTAAACCACTGAAAATTCAGGGAGAAACTGCTGGGATTGCCACTGTTAATTGCCCTGGTTGATACAACTGTTATTTATTTAATAACATCTTTTATGTGGTAGGCAGGATACCTGGCTCTTTGTTACAATACCAGGGAATTTGTTACTGTTAAACCCCTGAAAATAGTTTTCTTACCAAATAGGAGCTATGTTCCATGTTTGTTCTGAACTGGTATACTCAGTCTCACCATATATGCTTCTGTTTTTGATTGTTTTTAACAGTAGTTCTAAGTTTTCCACAAACATTGAAAGTTTAGAAAGAAAAAAATTTTAGGGTTATTCTAAATGGCTGCATTTGGAGGAGTTCTTGCATCCTGATTCTACGGTATTTGAGTAGGTCATTTAATCTGCTTAATTTTTCCCATAGGTAAAATTGGAGATTATATTTTGTTATTAACCCAGGCATGATAGTACATGCCTTTAATTCCAACTACTAATGAAGCAGAGGCAGGAGGATTGTGTGTTTAAGACTAGCCTGGCCAACTTACTGATAATCTGAGAATATAGCTCAGTACTGGGATTCAATGTGCAGTACTGAAAGAGAGAGAGAGGGAGGGAAAGAGACAGGGGAGTGGGGAGGGAAGAGAAGGAAAAGGGAAGGAGAGGGGAGAAGAGAAAAGAAAAAAGAAAAGAGGGGCTGGGGGTTTAGCTCAGTGACGTAAGTACCTGCCTGGCAAGTACAAGGTCATGAGTTCGATTCTCAGTACCATGAAAAAAAAAAGGATCACTTTCTATGACTAACACAACAATAAGTAATAATCAAAATGAAAGTAATATGTAAACTATGAAGCGTTTATACAAATGTAAGGTTATTATTAAATTTAAGATATTGCTCATAAGGCTTATCAGTAGGTAATATTAAAAAAGAAAAATGCTGCAAATTAATATGTTACAGTACTTTCTTATCACTCAACCCTTATTAAAAGGACTTACTTTGATTTATTTATATATATTAACCTTTTTATGTTTTATTTTATTTGTGGTGGTGGGATCAAACCCCGGGCCTTATGCATGCTAGGCATGTATGCTACCACTGAACTACATCTCTATCCCTAAATATATTGACTTTTATCATATATCATGCTTATGTTTAATGCAGGAAAATATAAAAATAATAACTCAGTTAAGATAGCTCAAAAATGTGTTTATACCCAAATTGTCTTTGGAGTCACTCTTGACTGAGTCATTGATGTCCATGTATTTCTGTGATGAGAGCCATGAGAGCACCGATAATGCAGCATTCTTAATACAAGTCTCCTTTTTTTTGAGACAGGGTCTTGCTAAATACCCTAGGTTGGCCTCAAACCCATATGGCAATCTTCCTGCCTCATCTTTTTGAGTGCTAGGATTATAGGTATGCATTACCACACCTGGATTTCCAATATTTTTTTGCCTTGAGGTTTTCTTCTAAACTTCTGACATTCATTCTTTATGTTTTGACGGTGCTTTCTTAATTTTGCTGAAAAGTGTTAGCAGAAGACTTTTAGCAACAAGTAGGATTCATGCCTTTACATTAACAGATAAAGCTATGTGTTAGGTAGCTTTCAATTACTATGGCAAAATATCTGAGTAAATCAACTCAAAGGAGAAAAGATTTATTTTGGCTCACAGTTTCAGTCAGTCAATGGTTGGCTTGTGCCTATGGTGAGGCAGTATATGGTGGCAGAACAACATGGTGGAGCAAAGCTGCTTCCCTCATAATGGTCTAAAAGCAGAGAGAGGCAGAGAGATCCATCTATGGAAAAAATAATATCCTTTGAAGTATGGCCCTACTTATCTACCTCTTCCAACTAGGCCCCACTGCTGAAAGATTCCTTTACTCCCAACACCACAAGTCTTAGGGAAAATATACAGATTCAAACTAACATTATTCCCCTGGCCCACAGAGAGATACCTGTCTCACCATGCAAAACGCATTTAGTCTATCTCCAAGAGTCTCCATTGTCTTAAAAATTCAAACATTGCTCAATAGTTCAAGTCCAAACTCCTCTGAAACTCAAGGTAAACTCTTAGCTGTGAGCCCCTGGAAATTTCAAAAAGCAAGTTACATACTTCAAACATCATAATGGTGATGCTGGCATGGGGTAAAAATTCCCAGTCCAAAAAGGAATGGGAGCATAGAAGGGAGAGATGAGACCAAAGCAGGGTCACAGCCCAACAGGGCATTAAATCCTGTAACTCTGAGCCAGAATTATTAGCACACACCTATGATCCCAGGACTGGGAGGTTGAGTCCAGAGGATTGCAGAAAGTTTCAGACCAGCCTGGGCTACAAAGTGAATTCAAGGCCAGACTGAACTACATATTGAGACCTTTCTCAAAAAAAAAAAAAAAAAAAAAAAAAAAAGCTCCATATCCAGCAATCAGGACATAGGATGGCTTCAAAAGGCTTGGGCAGCACCACCACTATGGCCTTGCAGTTCATATAGCCATTCCCTTGTGCTGATCTGCTGTTTGCCTCTTTCATTGACAGACATTCCTGGTATGTCCATCTTCCCAGGGTTTCCAGTGCAGCTTTTCTTTCACACAGCTTCACCCATTGTCCTCTTACCCATTGTCCTCACCATAGTGATTTCAGCCCTGCTACACACTGCCTGGCCTCCTGTGCCTTTCTTTAAAATCTGGGTGGAAGCCTCTGTGACTTCAAAATTCTTGCATTGTGCATGCCTGCACAACCAACATCATGTGGATGACACTAAGCACCAAAATCTACTGCCAATTTGAGTAGTAAGCTGTGCCGTCTTGGACCAGGGATGCAGTAGCCTCTGAATGTCTGAGCTAAGTAAGTATTGTGATAGGAATCCTGAGGAAACAACTTTATAGGTGACTCAGAGTAAGCAATGTGCACAGTCCTTAATACAGTCCTTCTTAATACAGTCTCCTTAATACAGTCCTTCAAATGAGTTTGCACTTTTATACCCTTGGGCCTATAAGGTGTGGTGTATAGCCAATTTTGGGGGGATCAAATTCATGACTGCACGCTTGCAAGGCAGATGCTTATGCCACTGAGCTAAATCCCCAGCCCTAGCCAATTCTTGAAATGCCCTTAAGATGTCTTTCTTATTGTCATGGTGCAAAATACTTTGATTTGTTTTTTTATGGTGCTCACCTCTTCAGTAACCATACCCTTCTTTCACAGTAAATGTAATTAAAAGTAGCCAGCAATACCCATGCTACAACCTGAATGCTGTACTGTCATGAAATTTTCTCTGCCAGATTAATTAATCTGTTACCTTTAAACTCAGCCTCAAAGGCTCAGGTCATAGACCAAATTTAGATGACAGCCAGGCATGGTGGTACATGCCTATATAATCCTAACAGTCAGGCGGCTGTAGCAGAAAGATTGCTGTGAATTTGAGACCAGCTGGAGCTATATAGTAAGTTCAACACCAGCCTGAACTACATAGAAAGACCTGAACTATATAACTAGGCCCTCTCTTAGAAAAAAGAATGTGAGTTCTTCACCAGAATATAATATAGATGGCCTCCAGTCCAATTCCTAGTAGAGCTCTCATTCTCATTTGAAACTTCGTGAGCACTGTTGTACTGTCCATATTCCTGTCAGCATTCTGATCTTCTGAGTAACCACCAGAATTTCCCAGCAAGTTCTTTTCACAATAGTAGATTTTCTCTAGCATACTTCTTTAAACTTTCCTAAACTTTTGCGTAGCAGTGCCAAAGGCTTCTGAACCACGTCATCAGTATAGTCACAGCAATGCCCACTTCTCTGTACCAATTTCCTATATTAGGTAACTTTCTATGACTATAACAAAATACCTGTGAAAATCAATGCAAAGGAGGAAAGACTTATTTTGGCTCACAGTTTCAGAGGTTTCACTTCACAAGTGACTGGCTTCATTGCGTCTGGGCCTGTGGTGAGGCAGTACATCGTTGCAGAAGAGCGTGGTGGAGCAAAGCTGCTCATCCCATGGCAGTCAAGTGTCAGAAAGAGAAGGGCCAGGAACAAAATATACCCTTTAAAGTCGTGCCTCCCACATCCTAACTCTTCCAAATGGGCTCCACGTCCTGAAGATTCTAGTACCTTCCAACACCCCACTGACAGATCAAAACTTTAACCTATGAGCCCTAAGGGAACATTCTCGATCCAAACTATACGGGTTTCAGTTGCATGAATTTATGCATGAACAAACAATGACAACTATGTCAAAATTGTCTACTACAAAAACATAAAACACCATCCGTTGTAAATACATTTTCAGAGATGTCACAATATAACAATATAAATGTCTTGTAATGGATAAAATGCAGTGTTGTTATTTTAGAAATAAAAATATATAATAATAAGGCCTCCAAGAACCTCTACTCTCCAGATTATTCCCTTGTTTCTATTCCCAGCCTTCACACTCTTAAATCTAGGAAAATACTATAGAAGGATCTGGGCATAGTGTTGAAGACAAGTATGACTCTTGGTTTGGATAAAGTGTTCCTCAAAAGGCTCATATGTTCAGAGGTGGAACTTTTGGAAGGTGAGTAGATCCTGGAGCAATAATGGATTAATGTACACCCATCAGTTCACAGCTGAATGTGCTGTTAGGAGGTAGTGGCTGGTTGGAGGAGGTCAGTCACAGATGGCATAACCTTGGAGGGCATATTTTTAGGCCCCAGATCCTTTCCTTTCCTTGTTGTCTCTCTGGCTCATCTTATCTGTTTCCTGGCTGTCATAACATGAGCAGCTTTCCTCTGCCATAGAGCCAGCCAATAATGGACTGAAACTTCTGAAACCATGAGCCAAGATAACCTTTTGTCTCTTATCTTTTGTCTCGTGCTTACTCCAGCGAAGGAAAGATGACTAATACAACTTTTAATCTTGTAATTTTTCATAACAGCTACTTTTGAGAGGTCAAGTCACTACTCTGGAGGAAATACCTGATTCAGAATCTTTGGAGGCAAAGAGAGATAAGGTACGCAAAAACACGTGTAAACTTTAAAACCTACATGCAATTGGAAGAGAGCTAATGGTTGAGTGCCAGGAGATATGCAGGGTACATGCCATGCAGTATCTCATTTTATTTGACATAAATGCTAATCTACTATAATCTCAGCTTTGTTTTATTCTTTCTGAAATAGACCTTTCATTTCTTCACATCTTAAAGCTAAAATTGATGACTACCATATGTATCACAAACAAAAGGTGATGATAAGCCCATGACAGACCTTGGCTTATTGCCAGACACAATTAAAATAAAAGACCTGCAGCTACCCGTGTATTGGCTACTGTTGTGCTAAAAACTGCCTCAAGGACCATGTCAGAAAACTTTAAGTTATGGTAAAAAGCCCCAAATGAGCTATAGGCATGGTGGCAAATGCCTGTAACCCCATTTGCTTGAGAGGTTGAAGCAGGAGCATTATAAGTATAAAGCCAGCTGGACAGCTTAGTAAGTCCTTGTCTCAATAAAAAAGGACTAGGGATAGATAGATAGATGTATAGATATAGCTCAGTGATAGAGCTATTGCCTACAAGCACACAACCCTGAGTTCAGCCCCAGTACCACACACACACACACACACACACACACACACACACACGAACACACACACTCCACATACACATACGTCCAAAATGAATCTAAGACTCAGTGTTCATTTAAATAAACATTAGGCAAGTTATACAGATTGAGATATATAGAAAATTGGCATTTAATTAGAAACAAAACTTTTGTGAATAAGGAGAGAAAGAGGAGGATGAAATGAGGTTAGGAAATGGGGGAAAAAAGGATCAAGATATGTCATGTACAGGTACAAATTCCCTATGATGAATGTGATCATCGTTTATATCTAAACTGTACCAATAAACTTAATTAAAAAAGAAAAGAAAGAAGGTTGATATTCAAATATCTGTTCATAGGATACAAGAGACCTCACTGAAAAGGAAACAATTTTAGGTGCTGTTACTCTGTCATAGGAAAAGTTACCAGCAATAAATCTAGTACTAGGAAATATAGGTGTAAAACAGGACCCCTCCCTCCAATATACATGCTCAAAACTTGGTTACATTTGAGACTGAGCCTCTGATCTAGCAGAAAAGTTGCACTCTCTGAAATAGAATGAAGCTTAACCTACAAGTTAAGATTGTATCAGGTTGGGAGGCTGAGGCAGGAGGATGTTGTGAGTTCACGACCAGCCTGGGCTACAAAGTGAGTTCAAGGCCAGCCTGAATTGCATAGGGAGACCCTGACTCAAAAAGACCAAAAAAAAAAAAAAAAAAGATTATATCAGGTAAGTTGAATTTTATCTTGCATTATCAATAGAAGTAAAATGCAGACAGAGGTTAAAGCAGTAAACTTTATTATCTTTCAAATGTCCACAAGGTAGTGGAGCAAAGCTCCACAAAAATTTGGGGACTCCTAAAACCAATCTCAGGATTACCTTCTGCTTGTATTTCTAGCACTTGGGAGGCTAAGGTACGAGGATCATGTATTCAACGTGAGTCTGGCTACATGGCAAGTTGAAGTCCAGTCTGAACTCACAGTAAGATTCTATCTCAAGAAAAAAATAAAATTTTAAAAGGCCATCTTCTTGCCAGGTATGGTGACATAGACCTGTAATCCCAGCTTTTGGGACGCTGAGGCAGGAGGATCACATTGAATTCAAGGCCAGCCCAGGCTACATAGTGCTAATATAGTGAGTTCAAGGCCAGCCTGTACCACATAATGAGACCTTGTCTCAAAAAAAAAAAAGAAAGAAAGAAAGAAAGAAACTAAAGCTGCTACCTTTCTTTAGGACACATTTCTCAACAGTGATGTTGTAATATTTAACTTGTAGCTCAATGAAAATTCACATTAGTGTCTGATTCTTTTATATATGGGCACATTTATCTCATTGAGATTTTAACTTTGAGTAGTAGCATGATAGCATCTTACTTTTCAAAATATTCTGCATGTACAATGCCTATTCTAAAGCATATAATATTCAGAAACTTTATGAATATCACCTCTCCCTATTTAAATTTGGAAGAGATTATATCTTTATAAAGAGGTGAAGACTCATATTTTTCAAAGAACCTGGCTACTTCAAAAAATCTACTTTATTTGCAGAACTGTTGCACAATCTGACAGTCCTCTTCATTTCACTGGAATGCCCTTGTAATTGCCAAATGTTGCCTTGCCTCATGGAAATTCTTGGCCAGGCCTGTGTATTGCCAGAATTCATAACTGTTGACCCCTGAAGCCCAATTCTCCTATAGTATCAAATCAAACAATTTTGGGGGATAGTACTGGGGACTAAATCCAGGGATACTCTACTACTGAGCTACATCCCCAGCCCTTTCAAATATTGTTTTAAATTTTGAGACAGGGTCTGATTAAATTGTGTTCCTCTACCTCAGCCTCCTGAGTAGATGGGATTACAGGTGTGTGTCACAGCCCACTTTTCAAATATTTCTTAATGACTTAAAAAGAACAGGCACTGGGCCAGTTGCCATTGAAGGTGAACTAATAGTTTATATTAAAACAAAGCTGGATGTGGCGGTACGTGCCTGTGATCCTAGCATTCGGGAGGCTGAGGCAGGAAGATCACTGAGTTTAAGGCCATCCTGGGCTACAACAGTGAGTTAAGGCCTGCCTGAATTACATAGCAAGACCCTGTCTCAAAAATAAAACAAATAAGTGTTATAGTTATATCAAAACAAACATGAAGAAATAGTAGGCACAAAGTTAAATGACAATTAAAACCCCAAGATGGTGCAGATCTGTAATCCCAGCACTGGGAAGGCTGAGACAGGAGGATTGCCGTGAGTTTGAGGCCAGACTTGGCTACATAGTGAGTTCAAGGCCAACTTCCACTGCTATGTAAGACCCTATGTTAAAACAAACAAACGAACTGGGACAGGAGTATAACTCAGCAGTGCAGTGCCTATTTGGCAAGCACAGGATCCTGAGTTTGGGTCCCAGTACCCAACAAAACAGGAGAGAGAGCAAAGACACAAAGGGCGGGGGTGGTGAGATCTATAAGAATTCACTGAAAGAGATACCAAACACAATAAGGAGCAATTCATGTCCTGTTTTTCTTTATATCACCTTTTTGAAGTATAAATATAGAAAATATATGATACCTCTGTCCCTTAAATATAGCTTGGGTGCCTCTTCTGGGTTCTGAATTCTTATCTCTTCACCTGAGTTTACTCATCACTGAGATTCCTGCCTTGGGAAAGGTCTACTTCTTTTTATAGCTAATTGTTAGTATTAGAGTTTGACTATTGTCAAGTTTGTTACTAAGTTTTCTAAATCTGGGAAACCTGGATTGGTAGTAGGTCTCAAAGATACCATCCACTTTATAACAACTCCTCTCTTCTCCTGAAGTGTTGGGAGTGTGTATGATATCTACTGATTTCATCTTGAGTTGTTTATTTATTTATTTTGTCTTTTTCATTTTTATCGGTACCGGGGATCAAACTCACGACTGCCTGCTTGCAAGGCAGGTGCTTATGCCGCTGAGCTAAATCCCCAGCCCTGAGTTGTTTATTTTTGCAATACCAAGTTTTGAATAGAAGGCCTTTGCACTGTGCTATATTCCTAGCCCTTTTATTTTTATTTGCATATGGTCTTGCTTAATTACCCAGACTGGGTTTGATCTTGCAGTCCTCCTACTTAAGCTTCCCAGACTGCTGGGATTACAGGCATGCACTACAGTGCCTAACTCTGAAACACCTTTTTCATCTGAGAATGTGTCCAAAACAGTTTCATAGCCACTGCGTTCCATTTCTTCACTTGATGTTCCTTGTTCCCTCCTTAATCTCTCTCTTTTGGCCAGTTCATCCATTTCCCTGTAAGAACTAATGCCATCCTATTCCAAGTCTTCAATCAATGTGTTCTAAAAAGAGAGAAAGCCTAAGCGTATGAGTCAACTTTATTCTTGGTACTGAACCCTGTTTGTTCTTGTATTAGTTGCCCTGAGGAACAGGGAAGAGAAATGCAACTTCTGGTTTTTTTTGCTATTAAAAAGAAGTGATTGGCAGTCAACCTATTTCCCTAATATAAAAAAAGAAAGGTATTACACACTGATTTCCTATTATATTTGCACAAGGCATTACTAAGTATTTGTTTTATTGCATTTAATGTGTTACAATTGTGTTTATTAATCTTGGTGTTGGATTAGGCAAAACAGAATGTGTCTGCCCTAGAAGGTCAATAAGCATCTGCCTAGTGGCCTAGTAAAATGAAAAAGCTCTCCTTTAACTTTATCACATGTGGTGATTCTAACAGTGACCTGCCTTTCTTCTGTCCTCACCTCTTTATATTACAGTGATTTGAAGAGCTGGGGATTTAGCTCAGCGACATAAGCGCCTGCCTTGCAAGTATGCGGTCGTGAGTTCAATCCCTGGTACTGATAAAAAAAAAAACAAAACAGTGATTTGTGTTTGTAGCTTCCTAAAAGACTGGGCATATAGCTCAGTGGTAGAGCACTTGCCTAACATGCACAAAGGCCCTGGGTTCCATCCTCAGTGTGCGCACACACATGAACCCAGAGAGAACACCCACATTCAACAAAAGTATTTGCCTTTCAGCACTCAGCAAACAGCTTCTGGGAGAGATCTTGTTCTGTATCTTACCCTGTTTTCACACAGTGCATGGGGAAGAGGAGATCCTTCCTGGCCCCAGCCCTTAACCTTTAGAGGTTCTGTGACATGAGGATGGCTGAGACACTGAGCAGATGCAATAGGAATGCCTGTGCTCTTCCCTGACTGCCTATTTTGGCCATCTCCCTTCTTTTAAACTCTGCAGTGGAAGGGTCAGAAAATTGAGCCAAACCAAAGATATAGGAGAAAAATCTGGAACATACTTGAATGGGTAGGGCTGATTAAGACAAGATGAGAGTTGCACGGTGGGGAATATTCACAAAAACAAACCTCTTGCAAGAATTTGGAGTCATAGAGGGGTCAAGCCTTCTTACTCAGTTAAATACT